AAACAAACAAAAAAAACCACTGTACATGAAAAAGTGTTTACATTTCAAAATACCAGTTTAAATGTAAAAAATATCACTCTTGATTACCTATTATCACCCCTATATTTGATAATGGATTATTTGGATTTATCTTGTTGGATTTCAAAAAGACTGCCACTTTGTTTTCTGGCTGACCTATGAACAAATTAAAGTGTTAGACTAAAACATGATGGAGAGAATTAAAAGACTAATATATATAACACATAGACACAATTCAAATGCTAAAATAGTTAAAAAATAAAACAATGAACCATTAATAGATGTCAAGGATAACAAATGTCCATCTCTACAATTTTAAATATTATTATTCTTTTTTTTCCTTTGGTATTTTAGGGAAGGGTCTACAGGGTGTTCAGGGTCTCACTACTAGATCAGACTCGTAGTGAGCCGCCTGTTTACAGCCTCCCAATAGCTGGGATTACAGGGGCATGCCACCATGCCCAGTCTCAATTACCATCTCAGCAGGCCCCGGGGGCGGGGTTGGCATGGCAAGCCCTAGGATCGAACCCCTGGCCTCTGCTCCTGCTTGCAGGTGCTTTAATCCACTGGCTATTTGGTCGGCCCTTAAATATTATTTATAAAACTTCTGAACTAGCATTTTGATTGTACCACATAGCTAATACAAGTTAATGACTCTGCAGACACTTGGAATTTTAGGGTTAAATATGTCCTATTAATTTTTTACTAGATTACAACTCTCAAAGGAATTAACACTAAAAATACAGGTGAAAACACATTCTGCGAATTACAAATAAGCCCAAAGACAGTATCGATTTTAACTTACCAGGATGAATGGGCGGAAGGTCCATAGCAGGTCTTCCAGACATCATCCGAGGATCCATGTAGGACTGCATCATTAGCCACCTTGGGTCAAAACCCATGGAAGCCAAATGCTGAGGGTGAGGCTGCATGGGCTGGTAAAGTGGTCTGTGTGGTGGGGGAGGGACAGTACCACCAGATGGCTGGGAAGGAACAGCCTGTGGAAGCACACCCTGCTGCTGCTGCTGCTGCTGCCACTGCTGCTGCTTCATCTGCTCCTGAAACAGATGTCACAGGTTGAGATTTAGTTCAGTGTGGCAGATTAGTAACAGAAAATATCTTTTTTGAATCCTTGAGGGGAAAGAAATTTAACAGCAGGAGTCAGCAAGACAAGGACCAAATGGTTAAGTTACAAATATTCTGCCTCATCTTTAACTTATTTAGGTAACTAAACACTCACTGATTAAACTGTATAATGCAATTTCCTTGAAATAGAAGACAATGTCTGTAAATGACAGAATATCAAGGTAGACCGTAAATCTACAAGCTTAAATTTCAAGAAAAATTTCTGTACTTTTGTTTTAGGTTTTATAGCAAATTAAAATCTTATTGTTACCTGCTGTCGCTGGAATCGAGGTGGTAATGATTTCTGAAACTGTTTGAAGTAGCCAGATAGTACAGCAGGTCGAGGCTGAGATCCCGATTCTGGTTCTGCTTCATGTACCAACTGTGCAGCCTCCTTCTCACTGCGATTACTATCCTGTCTAGTGAAAACTGGCTCCTCTTCTGCCCAAAGAAAGGGTAAAATATAGTGGCAACTAAGTGATTTTTGTATTGTACGATATAAAGGAGGCCTAACAAAATTTACTAAATAAAAAAAAGCATCAAAATTCCCAAATATTTTTAGATTCTAAAGAATATATATACTTTTGGTGTCAGGAATTGAACTCAGGACCTTGTGCTTGACAGGAAGGTACTGTGCCACTGAGCTAAATCCCCAGCCCTTACATTCTAATATTGGAAGCCAGCAACAAAACAACACATTACCAAACCCAGATTTTCACAAAGTTAACCATTAGAGATCACAGACCCAAGTAGTTCAATAACAAAACTTTTGATTCTTTTTGTGAGACATTTCAGATTTTATTTCCATATTTTCCATATGCAAAATTTAACCTCAATACTTAGCAAAACTTGTATGTAAACAGAACACAGTAATTTGTTTAGTACTAGACCTCAGAAAAACTATTGAGTTTAAGTATGAGGACGATAGTGCTCACCAGCTAATTTTAAACATGTAAACTGTTACCACACACATGTCAAGTATGGGACACCAATGGGAGAGCCACAGATGCAAAAGTTTGTATTCCAAGGAAAACCAGTTATATTCATTCTAGAATGCCATTTGGCACAACAAAGCCATTACATTTTACAAATTCCTGTATCAAATGACTAGGGATAAATTTTAAAAGGAAATTTATTTTGCCAATATAAGGCATGCAGTGAAAAATCACAAATCACCAATCTTTTCGACATAAAAAGTGTCAACAAATACGGATTGTTAAAAAGTAAATAGGGGGGCTGGGGAGATGGCTCAGTGGTCTAAAGCACCTACTTAGAACAAGCTCAGCAAAGCACAGGGAACGCTGTTCAATCCCCCAGCACCACATGCCAGCCAGCCCCGCCCCCTGGTAGGCTGAGCTGGCCACACACACACACAAATAAATTTTTTAAAAAATGTAAAAAAAAAGTAAATAGGGCTGGGGAGATAGGATAGCTCAGTGGTTTAAGCACCTGCCTGGCAAGCGCAAGGTCCTGGGTTCGAACCCGCATAAAGGAGAAGGAAAAAGAGCAGGAGCAGGAGGAGGAGGAGGAGGAGGAGGAGATGAAGATCTATAGATCTCTCTCAAAGTCAAATTAGCTAATCAGAGTCAACAGATGTATTCAATGGCAACTCTATGACTAAAATACGGGTTTATTACTAACCCAGTCTTCTCTTTCGATTCCATTAGGCCATTCCTATAGTACCTGTTATTACTAAAATAAGACCATTATTTCTGTTGTAGGCAATTTTACTTCCAGTGTTAGAAAATTCTTAAGTGTTCTGTACACATCTAGAAGTCTAATATCAATAACAAATCTATGTAGACTAATATATATATTTTTAACGTAGACTAATATTAAAAACTATAAAATCCGATCATTCTAACTAAGACCATTTGGGCCTTGTATCATTAAAAATTGAAATTAATTTTTTCTTTCACTCATTTTATAGTGCTGGGCAAGCAAGGAAAGTCCCCTTATATCATAATCCTTCCTACATTTTCATGGTTAAAGAAAGAGCTGAATTTGAAGGAAATTTATTTTGCAATATAAGGCATGCAGTGAAGAATCACAAATCACCTCTGTGATTACAAGGTATTCAAAGAGATGGCAATTAATTTTCTGGTATTTGTTAGTAGAGGGAACTACTGGAGTGTGTATACACTTTTTAGTAGACTCTATATATAAATATATGGTGGTAAAGTTCCACATTTATTAAAGGTAAGAAAAGCAAAACTGGAAGGGGGGGCGGTTAAAAAGAGCTCTGCAGAGATATCTTGGGCCAAGAAGGAAAAAAGAAAAAAAACAAAACAAAACAAAACAAAAAAACGAATACACCCCCATGGCATACAACAGACTGAGATGAAGAGACAAAGACAACCTGAAGTGTCTATACTTATACTATTACATTAGGTCTATTCCAGTTCAACTTCAAAGGTATGCATGTTCATGAATAAAATTTTGTTTAGTTAAATATCTTGGGAGTAAGGAAAAACCATGAGGAAAAAAGATAAATGGCATTATGAAGCCAATTAAAGTTTTGAGAAAAAACAGCTGAAGTTTTAGTATACTGAGACACTTCAGAGATGTTTGTTCACAAGTGAACTTAGAAAACATACCTCTAGCTTGTATGTTGTCCTGAAAAAGCTATCTAAAGGCAATCACTTTTGATTTTAACTTATAGGAAAAACATATCCACAATGCAACTAATATAAACTCCCTTGTAAAATTTATGTAAGCATGAATAAGGGAAATACCTTTAATACAGCTTTTTTCGCTCTCTTGTTTTTCTGCCACAGACTCCAAAATAGGTTCTTTGGGTTCTATTTTTTCTTCTGCTTTCTCCCTTTCTTTCTTCAAATCACTCTCCTTCTCTAGTTCTTTCATCTTTTGTAGTTCCTTTTCTTTTTCCCTCTGTTGTTCTAACTCTTTCTCTTTTTCTTGCTTTCTCTCCTCCATTTCCCTCTGTTTCTCGTGCTCCTTCTCCAACTCTTTTTCCTTTTCCTGCTGCCTCTCTCGTTCCCTTTCCTTCTCTCGCTCCTGCTCTTGTTCCTTTTCAAGTTCTTTCTCACGCTCTCGCTCTTTTTCTTTTTCTCTTTCCCTAACTTCCTCCGGTGATGGCTGTTTTTCCACAATGCCAAGCTTCTCATCCAATCGCTTCAGTTTCTCTGCACAAGCTGCCTTTCTCTGCTCCTCCATTCTTCGCTCTTCTTCTTCACGTCGTTTACGAGCACGTTCCACTGCTGCAGAAATTTCAGATTGTTGCCTTCGCCTTTGTTTCCATATTTCATCTTCATCAGGTACTTGCTGCTTGGGAGGGAAGGGGCCTGATCTTCCGGGTAACCCCTGTCGATCTGGAGGTGGATGCTAAAACATTGAGATAACTTATTAGATAAGGATAAAACTATCACAGATATGGACTGATCTGGTAGGAGAAAAAAAGGGGAAAATATCATAAACATAATGTAATAGAAAAGTAACCGAGAAGACAAGTCTAGTTAACATCTAAGTTAGATGAGCTTAATTTGGTATCTACTACTGACTGAGAAAGTATCTACTGTATCAGATACTATTACTTAGTGTTTGTTGAAATACATAAGAAGTGTAACACCAAATCTTAAAATCTAAATTTAGAGAAAAAGGAAAGAAATTTAAAATCTGAGTGCTTAAGCAATAGCAGTCAAAAACTAGATGCCTCCAAGCGAGAAAAGGGGGCCCAAAATATACAACAGCAACGCACGAGAGGCTTACTGTACGATACTGGGAAAAGGAGAAACCCAAAGCAAAAAATTAAGGGAGATGGAGACAATGTGCCCATGCATGATACATAGAAGAATTCCCAGAAATCAGCATGGGTAGTGAGAATTGTATCTTTATCTAAAAGATCCTAGTCTGACTTTAACTTTTATTAATTATAAAACCATTGTTTAGTTTAAACTCAATGTTCAAAATAATGCTGAAGCATGCAGGATGAAAAACATATAAAGGGAAGAAAAAAAATGTTTTAAATATACTGACAAAAGTTCCTGGACCAGGGAGTTAGCTCAGTAGAGTAAGTGCTTGCCTGGCAAGCATCAAGGTCCCAAGTTCAATCTCCGGTACCACAAAAAGTTCATACAATGAAGAAAAGACACGTAACCCAGTGAAAGCCCTTACAAAAGATAAAGTTAGGGTGTGAGAAAAAGACTAAATATTTTAAAAACAACGAACGTAGACTCTCATTTATTAATAGTACTACTATTTTAGGAAAACTACTTATTTTCTCTGATGTAGTTACTTTACCTATACCTCAGAGATAAGCTGAATAGCAAAATAATTATATGAAAGTACCTAATTTACTCAGTATTTTTAAAATGCAACTTCACTAAAGTGTAATCTACATAAAATGCAATGCATATTTCAAATGCACAGCTTGATGAGCTTGGATAAATAATCACTACTCCAATCAAGAAATAGAACATTTCTATTACTCCCATGAACTCCAAGCAGTATTAACGCTAACCTTGAGAAGTTTTGCTTGTCTTAGAAATTCACATAAATGCACAATTATACTCTCTCAATGTAAATTTTCAAAGTATTTTGCATATTACTGATTTGTTCCATTCCTGCAACAATATTCTATTACAGGTATATCCTTTCATTTTAGGTATGTAGGTTGCTTCCTGTTTTTAATCTATAAATAGCTATGCACATTCACACACAAGCCTTGGTGAAAATAATTTTTATTTCTCATGAATAGAAGTGAAACCCTAATACCATACATATTTCACTTTACAGCAAACTGCCAAATTGTATTCCAAAATGGCTATAAAGAATATATTCCCAGAAGCAACTGTAAGGGTGCCAGCTGCTCTATACCTTACCATGAAATAGTAAAGGTGGATGTACAGCAAAACCTCACTGTGCTGTTAATTTCCATTTCCTTGTGTCTAAAGATACTGAAGAATATTTTCCATGTGCTCAATGGCCTTTCATGTCTTTTTTAGTTTAAAAGTTTAAAGCATGTTTGGGCTGTGTCCTATTATTGAACTCTAAAAAGCTTAATTTAGCCCAGTAAAGTCCTTTGTCAAATGTGTTAGCAATCTTTTCTGCGATAAATCTTTGCATTTTAGAGGGATGTTTTTCAAAGTTCAGTGGACTTAGCCGCATGCGTTTTTGGGTCTTGATATTCAAGGAATCTTTCTGGATTTTAAGGTCATGGTGATTTTTTTTTTTTTCTCCTAAATATGTTTTAGCTTCTGTGTATAAAGAAAAGCTACCTAGGACTACTCAGTGGTTATGAGAAGACAGACTGGTGGACAGGACAGTAATGCTAAGTCAGCTATTATAGCGGGGTGATCAGGGAAGGCCACTGGTATAACCTGAGTAGAGCATCTGATCAGAAGGTGGGCCTCAGGAAAACAGCCTTTCAGTGAGAGCAAAGAGCAAGGAAAGAGTACTGAGGGCTGCGTGTGGTGGTCCACCCCTGTAATCAGAGTTCAGGAGGCTGAGGCAGGAGAACTGTTTTGAGTTTTGAGATGGACCTGGGCTGTGAAGTGAGCTCAAGGCCAACCTGAACTGCAGAGCCTTGTCTCAAAAAGACAAAGAAGGGGCAAACCAGATAGTTCAGCAGACTAAAGAGCCTGCTTTGGCAGAGCTCAGCGGGTGCAGGGCGTGCTGGGATGGACTGAGACTGGGCATGGTGGTGCCCCTTTAGTCCCAGCCCTTAGGAGGCTGAAAACAGGAGGATCACTACAAGGTCCAATCCATGTATGAGACCCTGTCCTAAATACATTTTTTAAAATAAGACAAATGCATAAATAAATGTCCTAAGGAAGGAATAAAGAATTGCAATCAAGTGTGTACAGCAGTAAAGAGGAAGAATAGCACAAAAATAAACAGGGACCTACCTGAAAAGTAATAGGAAATACCCGATCATGTATACCTGATGTAATATAGTTTTTAAAAGATTGCAGCCATCACAAGAGAATTGGATGAAAGGGGCAGGTGAGCAAGATAGCATAGGAGGAAAACTAGACTTGTTAAGAACAAACTACACCAAGGAATGGTGGCATACTCCTGGAATCCTACCCTCTGGGAGGCTGAGTGAGGAGGACTAGAAGTTCAAATCCAGACTAGGTGACCTAGTAAGATACTGTCTCAACACTCTAAAAAGGGCTAGGGATATAGTTCATTGAAAGAGAATTAGGTTAAATTCCCAAGACTGTAAAACCAAAGCCAATCACCAAACAAAACTCTAAGCAAAATCAAAAAAACAGAGAGGAAAAGTCCTAAACTGGACTGGGGATGTAGCTCCTCAGCACAGTGCAAGGCCCTGAGTTAGATTCCAGTACCAAAAAAAATAAAAGAGAAGACAACACTATGCAATGTATTAATTATTATAACTGTCCTACTAACCTGTTTTGAAACTGTCTCACTATTTGTTTCTTAATAAAAAAAAAAAAAAGAAAAAAAAGAACGTAAACCAAATCTCTACTGCTACAGTTTGAACAGCAGCAAGAAGTAAATATACGAAGACATTTTGAAGGTAATGGTGATATTTGTTCACAGAGTTGGATGTAGAGTAAATAAGGAAAAGTGTAAGGTTCGGTCTATGCAAATACATAAATAATAATGAATGTCATTACTGAGAGGAGGAAGGCAGACGCAGCAGCTGTGCTGTACAGGAGTGGGGTGTGTGTGTGTGTGTGTGTGTGTGAGGGTCCGGACATATATGTATGAGCACCTGTCATTTACATGGAGACACAGACTGACTGCTGATTATATGACTATTAAATTCAAGGTAGGTATTTAAGGGTAGAAATATGTACAACTGAGTGTTATTAGCACATGGAAGGGACTAACCTGGGGAAGGTTGTAAAGAACAAAATGATTGAGAACACATGCCTCAGGCCTCCAAACCGAAAGGTAGACAGGGCCCAAAAGGAATAGAGAAAATTGTTTCAGGAAAATGTAAAAAAAAAAAAAAAAAAAAAGTTTAACAATGAAGAAATAAATGAGAACTGAACTTCTCAAGATGAAAGTTGCCACTGACTCTGACAACATTTTCATAGGTATAGTAGGAAATGAAGATGAGGCTTAATATTATGGTGACAGAGGACAGAATCCGGAAGAGCAACGGCAACTGGAAGTCAGAGTGCAGAGACACTGAAATGTGAAAAACAAATATGTAGATATGTCCTCATGCTTCTCATTTTCTTTTTTTTTT